ACACCACGGTGAAAGGTGAGATTTTCTAGGTAGGTTTATTGCAGCTTGTGTATTCCAGACCCGTCACAGAGCACCAAATACAGAAATGAAAAACAGGAGTTACATTGGCATGGTGAAGTATTTCAACAAAGATTCCCGAATCGTTCCTCAGAGAGAAGGAGAAGGGAGGAGAGGCGAGAGAGAGAGAGAGAGAGAGAGAGAGAGAGAGAGAGAGAGAGAGAGAGAGAGAGAGAGAGAGAAGACATACAGATAGAAAAACAGACAAAAGAGTATAAAAGAGAAGTAGAAAAGACCAGACAAAACTAAAGATTTTTTTTCTTAAGAATGGGAAAGAAATTGGAACGAGAAGAGTGGGCAGTCAAATGCCAGAACAGCTGATAATTCTGAAGGCTTACATTAAAATGTGTGTTGGTTTCAAGATTCTTTAAAGCAAGCTCTCAACGTACAATGGGTATTCATTAAACCTGTCAACACCAGGTGTATGACTTAATCAGCGCGCTTACACAGACTCGAGCAAGGCGGTGAAAGGGTTAAACCTATCCGCAATGATGCTATGACCCGGACCAGGTGTTCTCTAAAACCATGTTCAAAGAGGGAGACAGGGAGATCGATAATCAATAAAACTGAATTACGGAAACAGGCAGAGCCCACAATGTGTCGTCCTCGAACATTAACAGGAACGAAAGCAGAGCACTTTCTGTGTCACAGAAACGTAATTACACATATATTACTACCAGTACCAGTTTTTCATTATGATTTACTTTAATCTACTTTACTTTACCCTTCCTCTTGTATAATTAAACATAGAGGATAGGTGCAATTTTCGGACATGGTCTGTTGTTGATAAGACATTCTTTTGGAGGACCTCTTTAACGCAATCCAGCCAAGTTTTGCGTGGCCTGCCCTTATCCTTATATCCTGATTCTTTTGAGTTGAAAGCTCGGGTAGCTGGTTGATTTGGTGACATTCTCATCAGATGATCATACCACCTAGATTCTTTGATGTTCTGAATGTTACATAGCCGGTTTCATCCCTGTTAAATTTCGAACAGTCCCGTTTCTTAATATTATGCAGTCTTTCTTAGTAAAGTTTATGTCATTGTATACACTGACTGATGACGTTTTCGCCATGTCTGCATATATTACGGCATTTGTGGTGCTACAGACTACAAGCTTAACACTCGGATATTTAGGACTCGAATTTGTAATGTATCTTGAAGTTACATGTTCGTCTTTTCAAATTTCTTTCCTGACGAAAGCCAAGAGCTCTATGTGTGCAGAAAAGGTGACACACGCAACAGAAAAGCGGTACACATAAAGGAATAGTTGATAAATAAGTTTTAAAAATATATATTTGCAAAAATAAAACAAATATAATATTATATTTCATTTCCTTAAAAGGGGACATGAGACTAATCCGACTATGTATTTAGATAACAAAAATAAGAAAAAGTGCACACATTTCAACAACAGCAAATACAGATTAAAGCAAACCAAATATTAATCACCTTTATCAGACGATGTGATTACGTCTACTGGGTAGAGACTGACGTTAAATGTTAATTAATCTGACTGGTCGGTCTGGGCGAACATGACTACGTCTTCCTCTTGTCTGAATAGAAATCAATGCTGTGAATTTGAGACCACTCTCTGCTCTCCATGGAATTATTCATTCAGTTCAGATAGTTGCGATGCTTATGTGTAAAATCGGCCGTCTTATGTGTAAAACAGCCTTCCAGCGAGCATTCAACATATGATTTTGACAAATAACACTGATAAAGAAGAAAATCTCACTTTTTGATAAGTGTAAGGGCAGAAAGGAACGAACGTCGTTTCTGGCTTCATTTAGAATATGATAACACAGATCCAAACGCAGATAATATGAATTTGCCTAACGAGTAGAGAAAATATACCCGCAAAATCGAACATCAAGTGTAAACTATATTGTAGCCTATATCACATTTTCTTTTCTTTTGTTTTCCCAATAACAGAGAATGTAACAGACTTGAACATTGAGTTCGGAGTAATGTTCTTAATTTTTCAAGGAACGTGATTTCATATATAGGTACCCAGATAAGGTATGGTCCGGCCCTTCCCAGGGTGAAGGGAGGGTTAGTGGTAATGAGACACCACTTTGTGACTTTGCTCGTTGTTTGACTTAGCTCCGAGCTAACGACCTGTCAACCGCGTACATAATGGTGTTAAGTACGTCGTTAACTAAAACCGGTCCAGATCCTACTGATCCACACACAAACCGCTCACTTCTAGTTTTGTTAGAAGCATAAACAACTACTATCTGAACAAAAATAACGATGATAGTCCGTCAAAGTCTGACGATGACTAATGCATCTGCAGAGGAGTATTTTTAAAGAGAAATAGAATGAATAAGGATTAAGATGTTTTGTAGCTTCCGCTGTGGCCAATGAAACCAATTTTGACACAGAAGAGTTGGCCACATTTTGCGCATTTGAACGTTTCTGTTCCATTTGTGAATGTGCACACCATGTAGTTTCTCTCTTGGGTGCAGCACTTCTAATTTGTGTTTTGGTGCCCTCTGTGATTGTTGCTCTCCACCTGAGTCTGTCTCGAGTTAGGCTCCCCATGTCAAACCACAAAGGATAATTCTATGAGGGTAGAATACTGCCATTAGAGTTCTGAAACTAGGCTTTCTTACAACACGGCCAGCCCAGTGAAGTTTAGAGCCCTTTTAAGTTTAGAAAACAGACTCTCGGAATTTGCACTTTTTAGATCTTCGCTGTCTAGTATTTTGTCCTACCTTTCGATATCAAGAATTCCCCTGGGGAATGTGAGTATAAAAGTTGTTTGTCGCTCGCAACATGAAAGCTCTTTTAACGTTTTCAAAAATGTGTGTTTTGAACTGTAAATAATTTTGTCAAACAGAATGCGTTTTAAAATGGGGTACAATTAGCTTTTCACGAAAGGAAAACGAAACATTGCAGTAAACTGCGGCAGCTCATTAGTGCGGGGAGGTACGAACCTCGAAGTAGTTTAACGATTTGCCGATTGAACGCACAGCGTAAACAGTGCGATCGGTATGTTTTTTGCCCGCACGTTTATCCTCTTTTTATTCAAAGACAGAGAAAAGGGAAAGGCGAGAAGCCTACAGGAGAAGGGCAAAGGGGAGCAAGGATTAAACAATGACCACGAACAGTTCAGACATACGATATCTGAGAACAAAATTAAGAAATAGCCCCACCCCTTTCGTTCATCGATTTATTTCTTAATTCTCTGTAGATGTCATGAGAATAAGACAACTAATCCGGAATATTTTTAAAAAGTCTATTTAAGCTTGAACACCCCCCCCCCCGACAAGGAAGGTCTCACGTTTAAAAACGTT